AAAACAGTCACCCGGTTACGTATTGGCCAAACAATTATAACTCACAGCCACATCCTCAAGGGGGAAAGCCGACCGCTATGTCCGTATTGTAACTTGAAACAACTTTCCGTAATCCACCACGAATGCCAACATTTTACCGACATCAGGAAAAGCATCTTTGGAAACTATACACCTTCGGATTATTTAATAACTATTGAGAGTAAGAACATTGACAGGATTGTAAAGTACTTAGTATTGACAAATCTAAAGAAGTTAATCTGGAGTTAAGTTTTGTTTTAGATTAGGGTCAATTTCTAAGTTAACCAGTTTACTAGGTATACAAAAAGTTGACAAGCGAGCTGAAGGTCTTAGTTACTAGTGCTCCTAGTTATTGTAGTTAGGTGATTTATCACTTAATTTCTGTATTATAAATAAATAAATAAATAAAGGGAACGATATTATAATCCATGTTATGAAAGTAAAAAATTTAAGCTCCTTATTGTACAATGCTTATCTAAAAGTTACACAATTTCCATATGCATTTTTATGCATGCAACACTTATAACAAACTCACCTTCGATGAGACGCAGATAGTCAAACCAGGCATCGTAGTTTTGGGGATTAGCAGCCACCTCCTGCTCATATTGGAATTTTCGCTTGGACACAATAACATCTTCGATACCTGCCCTATCGCCATATTTTTTCTCATGTATTGTGTAAGCTTTATAAAGCTCCTTTGTTCGGTCTTTGGACAGATGATCTAATGCATATTTGTAAATAACGCGTGCTCTATCATGCTCTTTCTGGCCCTCTTCAAATCGCGCAAAAGCAATAAACAGTCGCTCATCGATGTAATCATCTCCAAAGAATTCCACGGCTCGCTCGTAAACCCGTCGAGCTCCATGTACAAATCCATGCGACTCTTCGAATCGCGCAAACTTAATCCAGTTTTTAACATCAGGGTGAACGTAAACGAAACGTTCATAGATTGCACGCGCCCGATCGATTTCTTTATAGCGAAGTTCAAAATTAACATAGGTTTGCCAAGCTTGTTCCTCAGGTTGCCATTCCATCCAGCGTTCAAACACTTGCCGGGCTCCTGCTACATTGTCCAACATTTCCTCCATATAGGTGTACTTGTACCAAAACTGATTAACGCGCGGCATGATGGTAACAGCGCGATCCCACAAATTTCGTGCATGGTTAACTTGCTTATTCTTCATTTCCATTTCAGCATATTTTAACCAAATGGTAATGTTTCGATGCTCATTATCCAGGGCACGTTCCCATATTGAACGAGCTCGGTGTATTTCCTTTTGTGATTCCTCCCACTGCGCATATTTTATCCAATGGCTAACTACCATGCGATTTTTGCGAAGATTGTCTTCAAATACTTTGCGTTTACGCTGTTGGTAATCAGCTAACTCAGCGGGGTCTGATATCTTTTGTTTGGGAGGTGGCGGAAGAATTTCCAAATCACGTTCTTTGGCTTCTCGAAGCAATTGCTCCGCCGTGATTTGTACCTCGGCAGGCGCTTTGTTTTTTACCTGTTAAGTGAATATTTGCGTAAGACCTTTGCGTCAATAAGAAATCTTACTTACCTTTGCCACTTTGGGCATTTTCTGTGGTCTTTCCATTTTATTTAGGTATTTATTTATTTTCAATTAACGAAATAGTGAAGCGATGGTAAAAATCCAGTGGTTAATTTAACAAATAGTTGATATGACAACAAACAGCTGTTTACTGATTGCTTACAGGGTTGCAACGACTAGAATTCTTTAACCCTTCGGACAACAGGGGAGTATAATTATGAACCAAATACCATGGCGCATATTCATAGTCATATTTGGTACTCAACTAAGTCGAAACTATTCTAATGGGCTGTTTTTGCTTACGCGTAAAAGCACATTTAGCGCATTTAGCTCTAAATGCTACTTTAAATGTACATTTATCCATACAAAATTCGTCACCTAAATGCAACTAAATGCAACTCCATTTTTGCATTAAGAATCTAAATGCTAAAAGCAACCCTGTGATCTTCCAAAATTTCCACGATTCGAACCACGGTGCAGCGAACAAAGGTGGCGCCGTCAGTGGTACCGCTACTTTGGTTTCGCCGATTTTGACAGTTGTGGTAACTTGTAAATAAACCTTTGTTTACAAATCAGCGAAAGAGAATTTGAATTATAAGTGAAAAATCAGTTTAAATTGTGTTAATTTGCAATTTGTGAGTGATTTTTGAGTTGAAGACTGCGTAAAATCTAATAAAAAGAAGTGCTGTGTGTTAAATTGCGACAGCTTCAAGATGCAAGATGCGTAGCGTAGATGCAAGTAGCGCATGGAAGAATCGCTGCATTTTGTGTACATAGGGCACGGCAAAGCCGTTCCCGAAATGTTTCTTTATTATTACAATAACAGCATTTCCTCACAATGATTTTGCTTCTGCTCCAAGAAGCCTCCATTAGCAAGTTAACTAATCAATCCCGCTGAGATGCTGCCGCAGTTTTCTGCAGCAGCCTTAATTACAAAGCAATGGAGTGCACTAAAACGTGTGCTGAAGCAGCCTCAATTGCAAAGCAATGGAGTGCACTAAAATTTTCACTGTTCTCTAATAGATTTGGTGAAAAATGCAATATTTTCGAAATTAGTAGAATTAAAACACGTTATTCGCTGTAAAGTGAACTGCTTTGGCAGTTTTAACTCGTTCTTCTTTTCGCTCTATTCTTTGTTTACTTGTGGTACACAAATGTCAACGCCCAGGACGGCGCAATCTTGTATTCTATCATTCTTGGATTCGAACATGGTTTAATGAGAAAAAGTGGCAACATTGCTTTTTCGCGTATACAGTGGCTAGCTGCGTTTCAGTGATCGCCGATCGAGATTTAATTTATTATTTTACATTATTTGGATAAAGAAAAGTTACGCCAATTCAACATCGATGTGATGCTGATAGAAATCTGGATCAATTTGTGATCAAATCTGTTTGTTTTGTTTCCTAATTAAGTGAGGAAATTTTAATTGACAGCATCGACAAATGAATATATACACAAACAAAAGTTCGGTTATGGTTAAAACAATTCAAGTTTTTGTATTGAATTTTTGGTTTAAAATGTATTTTTTCCTTTTCAGTAGGGTTTTTTGCACATTATCTTCTGCGTGAGAATTGATCGTAATAGATACGGATCTGAATAAGCGACTGGAACACGGCTGTTTGTCAAAGCATACGATTTCGAGCTCCCGTAAATGTACATTTGCTAAATGCGATAGCATGAACGCTCTTCGAAAACATATGTTCGAAAGTGCTAAATGTTGCATTTTAAATGCAGAAAAAACGCTGCATAAGTCACAACTAAAGCTATTCATAGTCGCCTTACAGCCCCATTCTGTTGCCCTCACAAAAATCACCACACTCACTATTGTGAGGTTTCTGACTATTGTGAGGTTATCCCTATGCTGGCGCAAATTCGAAAGCTCATACGCTCACAATTGTGAGAAAATTTATGATGTACGAATGAGACCCTCACAAGAGAAAAACAGCCGATTTTTATTGAGCAAATGTTTTGTTAATTTTCGTTCGCTATCAGTGTCTGTGTTATTTTTTATTTTTTTAACTAAGAGTATATTCAGTAATGGCAGAGTTATTGCTTGTTTTTTCGGCAGTTTCGGAAGAGTTAGAGCAGGCATAGGATTTCATTTCCATACAAACTTTTGCACCAAGTTGTGGATTG